GACCCAAGACTAAGAAAGGCTTTCCAGTGAGTGAATGTCGGAAACTGATAAGAGAAGCATTCTCAAGGCTTGGTAGCATAACTTACTAAAGGCGTATCTCCTTGCAATCTGCTGTTTTCTCCTGTGAGCCACTGACATTTGAAAGATTTACTGATCAGCTTATAAATTACAGAGCTTGTACATGTTGTGGACTTCTGAGCTAATTACACATTTGCAACTGCAATTAATGCTTCCCCTACTTTAGGGAACTGTTAACACTCATACCTAGAGAGAGGATAGTTTCACGTAATTTTTTAATCATTAAAAAAGACATGTGCAAATTACATTTCCAGACAGCTAGTATTACCAATTGAGTGCCTCAAGAAAGCCCTTACTTAATAAATTATCTTGTCAGGCTGTGTAATGGCATACATAATATGAACCTTTCCCTCCAACATAGTAAAAAGAAACAAAGGAAATACCAGCAAAATGATAATAGTTTCTTTAACCTTCTTGTGAGAGTTATTATGGTCTTATCATTGTTAGAGCCCTGTTTATAAATGAATATGCCGAGTCTTAGAGAATTATATAGGCAGAAAGTGGGGGTTGGGAGGATGAATCTCAGATCTAAGATACTGACCTATCTAGGACCCATCCAAAGCATACGCTTTTGTACTAAGCAAGTGTTTTTGTTTGTTTCGTTGTAGATCATGTTACTTTGTAGGTGAAAATGCTGCATGTATGAAAACATACAGCACAGCAGCTTTTAGCTAAGGACAAAGTATCTGTGGCCTACAAAGATTACCATCGGCTTGAATTACATTTTCAAAGAAGAATTTGGTCTTATCTTTCCTAAAGATTCACTGCAAAATTGTGGGGAAGGCAAACCTTTATTTAACAAAGAGGCACTGTGGACTCGTTGCTGTCCCTAGATAAGTTCTGACTGTATTTCACATTTCAGCATTTTCTTCTACTGAGTTTGCTCATACTATTTAATATTTATTTATTTACTTACTTACTTATTTGTTTGTTTATTTATTCATTGGTTTTTCAAGACAGGGTTTCTCTGTAGTTTTGGAGCCTGTCCTGGAACTCATTCTGTAGACCAGGCTGTCTTCGAACTCACAGAGATCCACCTATCTCTGTCTCCCAAATGCTGGGATTAAAGGCGTGCGCCACCACTGCCCAGCCACTACTTAAATATTTAAAAGCATGTTTTGGTTGGCTTTCCTGATCAGCTATTATGTCTTTGTTTTTCTTTTAAGATCTACCTTGGTGATCTGAATTAACCTCTACTTCACATAAAGTGTTTGAGCAAATGACTTCTGTATTTGTCCTAATTGGGACTTCAGGTTGATGATGAGGCCCTGAGAAAATTGTCACTCAGATGTTACTGACATAGGAGGCTTTGCAGTTATTTATTAGAAGACAGCCTGAGAGGAAAAGAGAAAATGGATTGTTGTGATCCTCTCTTGCTAAATCCGGCCCAATGCTGTTATCGTTTCTTTACTGCTTTCTCTAAAAGGCATCATTTCAGTGCACTAATCTTTTAAGCAGCCATTCAGCAGGAACTGGGCTAGAACCTTGCTAAGGGGTCACATTCACCAGCCTGACAGTTAGACATTTACAAAAGAAATGGTACGAATTTATTCAGCATCAAAACCTCTGCATCTCTTACCACCCAGCCGTATTTCACACCGTATTACCGTCATTCCACTGCGATAGCTGCATAAATCCTGTCCAGATTCTTCATTTAATTAACCAGCATTCTTTGAACAAAAATAAAAGTGCTGTTTTTATGGAGGAATAAAAGCTGCACGACTGAGTGTGAAGAGGACAGATCATCAAATTAGTGATTCTTCACCGCAGCTGGGGTGATTTTCCTGCCCTTCCTCTCTCACTTCAGAGGCTTTTTTTTTTTTTTTTGATGGGATAGAAAATGGGGAACAGTTCAGGATCCTCAAATGTTTTTGAGAGTCTGTTGTTATAACCACATCCTAAGCTAGTGCAGGGCTGGTTGGTGCTGTTGATAACTGGTACCTACAAATGATTTTTTCTTTTTAAATAATGTTTTCTGTAGTTAACCAAATAGTATAGACTAGTAACCAAGAGCATAAGCTCTGTTAACTAAACTGTGTGAGTTCAAATCCCAGCCCTGGCTAGCACTAAGCTTTCTGTGCTTTGGTGCCCTGTCTTTGAAATGAGGATACCTCTAGACATTCCTTATACTACGATATGCAGTTAGCTGACTTGACACATACAACCTTTAGAACAGGGCTGGCATATTAAGCCATTACCTGGAGTGTACTCAACAGTAATCTGGTGTGAAACTGACCCCGGTATGTCACTGGTAACTGTCCTGGTCACCTGGGCTGGACTGACAGGTGCTGTGCATTAGGTAATCCCTCTCTCTTCCATACTCTCATTTCTAAAGGCACCCTTACAGTAGAAGACAAGTACTATCGTTTACTTGAAGGGACTCAACTTCTTTGAGTGCAGGTAGAGAAGGCAGGGGACATCCCATACCATTCCATTTTGCACCCAGCTGCCAGCTTTACCTTTTAAAATTAATTTGATTTATTCATCTGTTTATATATCTCTTCTAAAAACAAACCAACAAAAACTATCTTCCAACAGGACCCCTCTACCTCAATCAAAACCCACCTGGCATCATTTCTCATGCGCCACATTCCTTCCCGCTCATTTGTTCATGTTGGTTTTTTTTTTTTCTGTTTTATTTTATCTTCTTTACCACTCCTTACTCCATTTATGTACATCACACCTTATGTTCTAGGCTGAGCCAGAAAAGGTGTAGGTATTATTTGCCCCTTTGTATTGTATTCACATCATATTCCACAGTTGTCTTATGAAATAGATGCTAACTTCATGTTGTTGATGACCCAGCCTGTTGTTCCACTCCCAAACTGTACTGGAACTCTAACCACTTCATCTACCGCCTCTTCTACAACCACCCTGGCCAGCCGCAGTTAGCTTTACCTGTTCCCTTCCTCCTCTTTCTGCTCCCACCTGTGTCTCCCACACAGTCTGTTCTTCACTGATCAATGAAATACACCCCCTTAAAACTTAAGCCAGTTTGTAAACGGAGGTTTCTCGTCCAGCCCGCCAGTTCCCAAATAACCACTCTAAGGCCTAATACTAATTATAATTGTCTGGCCAATGGCTCAGGCGTATTACTGACTAGCTTTCACAATTTAATTAACCAATTTCTATTAGTTTATATTTTACCACAATGCTCATGACTTATTGGTAATGTTCTGGCATTTCACCCCAAGCACAGCTAGATGGCATCTCCCTGACTCTGCCTTCTTTCTCTCCATATCTTTGTTTGGATTTCCCACCTGGCTCTATTCTACCTGGCCATTGGCCAACTCAGCTTTATTCATCAACCAATAAAAGCAACGCATATTCACAGCATACAGAAGGACATCCCACATCACCAGTTTGTATCACTCCCCTGCTAAGTCCCTCCTTCCTTCCTCACTCTGAGGGAAGCCTGTGAATGCTCTCTAAGGCCTGCCTCTCCAGGTCATCCTGTCTCCACACTGGTGTTTCCTCTCTGTCCTGGTGTCTTCCTACTTCCCTGTCATTCCCACTGTTTCTCACTGTTTCTGCCTCATTGACTGCCTTGGTGTTCTCCAAAGATACAAAGCCCAATCCAGTCCCAGGCCCTTTGCCCATTTGCTCCTTTTGCCCAGAAAGCTTCTCTTCAGGAAATCATAGCATGGTGGTCCCTTCTTCGAGTCTCTAGTCAGTGCCTTCTCACTGAGCTCGTAACTCATGCCTAAGCTACTGTCTCTCCAATTGTAGATTGTAAGTTTTGAAGGGTGAGAATTTTCCATGTATACTGTCCATGCAGATTCCAGGAATTCACATATAATGAACAGTTAGTAGATGCTGAACAGACCCTTGAGAATATCCCCACAACCCTACTTCTCTCAGCACTTCATGCTCCAACAAAAGCAAATGCTCCATAACAGCTTCAAGAACATCAGAATAGCTATAGTTTAATATTAGCCATAGCAATTGGAGCAGAAAGTTCCATTACAGAGAAGAGAGATTGCTGCACTCTCTAAAAAAGAGTTCTACACTATAATAGCAGCCGTGTTAAATTATGTGGGTGTCTTAGGGGACTGTGACCTGACACCAAGGTACATTTTGAGAGAGCCCATGGCTGCTGCCACCCTTACCTTCCAAGATAAAGAGTATAGCTAGTGTTTGGAGCATTGTTGTTGTTTTGTTTTATTCTGTCATCCAAAGACTGTGAAGTGAAGAAAAGCAATCATTAGTATTGAAGTCAAGCAAGCCTGGGCTCAAAATTTTGTGTACTCAATGCCCTTGTTCATCTTGTTTATTCTCTGGGTCGCTGATTGCTTATGTAAATGGTTTTCAATCCATTTCTCCGCATGTTATTCCAAAAATTGAAAGAGCAAAGACAGATGAAGCACGCACTGTGTGTTTAGTAATTGCCTCCTGAACATTGTATCCAATTGATAAACAATTATGTATTATGTTGCTACCAAAGCAAGAAGTAACAGTCTGATGTCCAGAGAAAACTTTGCCTCTGGGGCTTGGTCCACGTGGAAACCGGACTCCCAGCATCTGATGAAGCTGCAGTAGACTTCTGATAACACCAGCAACTCCACCAGCCCCTTTTTTCTGTAGCTTACTCCTTTTGTCTTCTGAATACTTCCCTATTCATCTATTTCGGATTTTCAGTTTTCTGTTCCTTCTTTCATTTTTCCCAAAGTGATGCTAGGTGTGTGATTCTAAAGAGTCATACAGAAGCTTCAAGAAACCAACAAAAGACGGGGCAGCTAGGTCACATAATGAAATAATGTACTTTCTAGTTTTTAGGTGGAAGATAAAGAACATAGACATGTTAAGGTTTGGAGTCATAACTGCCAAAATGAGAAGAAAAAAAAAAAAAAAACACTTTGTATAGACCACAGAAGTGTATTTTGCGTTTTTTTCTCACTTGACGTTAACTTTTAACTCCTTAGGAAGCCAAAGCCGTAGCTGAAGAAACCCGAGCTCTGCGAAGCCGGCTCCATCTTGCTGAAGCTGCACAGAGGCAGGCACATGGGATGGAAATGGACTATGAAGAAGTGATCCATCTGCTGGAGACTGAGATCTCAGAGCTAAAGGCTCAGCTTGCTCATTATTCTGACCAAAATAAAGTAAGCAAACAGCCCTCTCTAGTTACCATGGTTCCCTCGCCACTGTCGTGTATCCTGTTTTCATTTTCTTTTCATCTGCACGTCTAAACTAGGTCAGTGTTTGTCTTCTATTATTCCATGATAGGATGTTGTGTCGTGAAGAGGGTGGCATGGAAGTTGTGAGCCTGCCTTTATCCATAAAGCCTGGCGATGGAAAAGCACGGGCCCCGAATTAATTGGGTCATTGGTCAACATTGTTCCATTCAGCCATTCAGGCCTGGAACTATTTAACATTTAATTGATGGCACTGGTTTTCTCTTTCTGTCTTTGAGTTTGCTAATTTGTTTTGTGGAGGTGGAAGAAGGGGATTAAAGGGATGAGTTTTGCTCTTTGATTAGAGAACCTGGGGCAGTATAGCAGTACACATGCTAATGAATTCTTACAGGAGAGGCTGGATGACTAATGAGAAGAAACCAAGTTTGAATTTGTTTTGTTTGGTTTGGTTTGGCTTCTTTCAAAGTTAAGGAGTACTAACCTGGGCTCCTCCAGAAGAACGCTCATTTGCAATACAATACTGAGTACCTTGCAGGAAGCAAGCTGAACATCCCTATGTGGGAATTGTCCACAGTGTACCTTTAGTTATGACTAAGCTTCAAAAACCATAGTAGGCCTGTGTGTGTGTGTGTGTGTGTGTGTGTGTGTGTGTGTGTGTGTGTGTGTGTGTGTGGTTGTGTGGGCGTGCGCGGGCGGTGGGGGCGGCGGGGTGTGTAGTATAAACTACAATGACTTGAAGTAGGTATTTTATAGCTTTGTAAAAATTCTTCACTTATAAGTAATGGCTGTTTACAGCTCTAACCCATTCAGCCTTCAAGCAACAACAGAACAAATTTGAGCTATTTATGAATATTTAAGCATATAAGTTCTTTAACATACCAAATTAAAATGAAGCTAGTTTTAGAAAAGAAGATTTTTAACAGAAAATGTGAGGTTTTCTTTGCTCAGCTCTGAAAAACCCTATCCATTTCCCCATATATCTACTCATGTAAACCAGCTCACAGAAGGCCGGCCGGCCAGAGGACCCACCCACCATGGAGGAGACCTGGAAAGAACCCATACATAGCACTTGAGCAAGCAGCAGCACTTAGGAATGTTAGTTACAGACATTTGTTTATCTATGTACATTTTTAAACAGTTGTGGCTATGCCACGTAACTTTAACCTAATTATGAAAATATCGTAGAAATTATCAAATTATTAAGGATACTTTTAATAAAATAACTAGTTACTTTTGCAGCAAGAGTTGCCAGTGTGTAATAGTTCAGAATTCTTGCTGTTGTTTTTTTGTGGCATTGGAGGTTGAAGTAGGACCTTACGTTTGTTAGGCTAGAGCTCTATTCTTGAACTGTTTTTTTTTTTTTTTAAGATTTTATTTCTTTATTATGTATACAACATTCTGCTTCCGTGTATATCTGCACACCAGAAGAGGGCACCAGATCTCATAATGGATGGTTGTGAGCCACCATGTGGTTGCTGGGAATTGAACTCAGGACCTCTGGAAGAGCAGTCAGTGCTCTTAATCTCTGAGCCATCTCTCCAGCCCCTCTTGAACTGTTCTTTAGCCCTGTAATTTTAAGTAATATACTTTTAAGAGGTTTGCATAAAATTATCCAGTGATTTTTGCTTTGTTTTGTTAGTTTTTAAATCTTTTATTAGCATTTGTGTGAGGAGGTATTTGGAGGTGGGAGGGCATGTGAAGGTCAGAGGTCAGTGTTGCGGAGTCATTTCTCTCCCAGTCTTTGCATAGGTTCCTGGGAACAAACTGAGATCCCTAGGCTCATGCAGCAAGCACCATTACCCACTGAATCACCTCTCCAGCTCCGGGTGTGGGTTTCTGCTGTATAAAGTTTAGGTTATTGCATCCTCTCTTCTCCAGTGAGAAATATTTTAGTCCCAAGTTGCCTGGTAATATAATTAATTCATGTTCTCTCTCTTTGTAGCTTTAGGTGAGATCTCATGACATCCCTTTTAATAAGAGCCTAAACTACCTCTCTAAAATGCTTTTCTTCTCTTTTTGAGAGGAGATATTAAACATAAGCATCTCAATATTCAATATTTTCCAATTCTGATATCAGTAGGGAAAAAGTAACTTTTTCAGCTGTGTGCGACATTGCTTAAGAATCTATTGACTAGGTACTACAGAATGAAGATTTAAAGATTTAATTATCTCTGTTTACTTATTTTGCACTTGGGGGCTGCATATTGAGTAGTGTGTGAGTGAGGCCAGAAGTCAACGTCAGGTATTGTTCCTAGAAAGCTATCCATCTTTTGGGGGTGAGGGGAGAGGAGTGTTTATAGAGATTTTTACTGGCACCAGAGATCCTCCCTCCTCTGGTCACCTCTCCAGAGATGGGATGACAAATATGTGGCACTTCACCTGGCTTTTTACAGAGGTGCACAGCAAACAATTTACCAACTGCGCTATCTCTGCAGCTCCTAAGTATTTATTTGTTTAGACATAGATCCTTTCTGTAATGATGCTTTCATTTATTACTATAACTTCCCTTAAATTATCAATATATTTTCTAATTTGTATTTGAAAAAATCTATCTGAAGCATAAGAAATAAAACATTATTGGGTCTAGAGAGAGAGACCTGAGGAGTTAGAGTACTTGTTGTTCTTGCAGAAGACCCAAGACCTGTTCCCACCATCCTCACAACTTCTAACTCCAGCAACAGGGGACCTGATGCCCTTTCTGACCTCCTTGGGCAACCACACCTACATGTACACTACATGTGAATCATCACACATGAATAAAAATAAGTATTTTTAAAATATAAAATAAAGCATTACTAATACCTGTGAGGGACCACAACACCCGCCCCTCCAGATTGCATCTACTGCCCTTGCCCTCAGAGTTCGCTGCTTTCTTGAATTTAGTGTCTACCAGTTTCTTGATAGTTTTACTACTTACATATCTACTCACTGTTTGTTTAGTTTTGCCTGATTACCGGGTTAATATGTAGCTAGTTGGTATCTTTTTTCATCTTTATTCTTCTTTGTGTGAATTACCACCGTGCAGTTATCCATTCTGTATCTGATGGGCAGTTTGTTATTTCTGTATTATTCTACTGTGAATTATGTTCCTGAGAACATTCTGATATATGTAACTTTCTCCGTATATGTAACTGTTAGCTATGAGAAGTAGTATTGCCAGGTTGAAGGATAATTGTATGTTCAACTTTATAAGTAAATGCCTAATTGTGACTGAAAGTATTTTTAACCAATTTGTATTCCCATGAAGAATGGATTAGAATTACCATTCACCCCTTGCTGATCCTTGGCTTTCTTTTATTTTGAATTTTTATCCATCTGGTTGGTACAATAATTGCTATGCCAGTATAGTTTAATTTGAATTCCCCTAGTTACTAATGACTAACATAATGGTGTGCTGGGAACCATAGGCACTGGCTCATGAGAACTTGTCTCTTGTCAATGCTGTATTCACTGATGGAGGTTGGAAGCCTGAAATCAACCATGATGGAGTCATTTATATCCCTAAATGCTGTAAACCTGCAATTTGTCCTTCCCTGACTGAGATAACCAGTTGAGCATATATTTATGCATTCAGTAGTCACTTATTTTTCTCAGTGAAATGTGCTTTTGTATCTTTTATTTTCCCATTGGGTTGTTTGTCTTTTGCTTAGAGACATGTAGTGATTCTCTTGGTTACTAATCCTTTATTGACTTATATGTTATAAAACTACCCTCTCAAACTTGTGACTTGCCTTTTCTACTCTATAATGAAATAGAAAGGAACTTTTATTTTCATGGAAACTTATTGTCTTAGTTACTTTTCTATTACTTTACTAAGACACCAGGAGCAAGGCAACTTATAGAAGAGTTTATCTGAGGCTTATAGTCTCAGAGTTTTGGAGTTCATGACCATCATTGTAAGGGGCATGTCAGCAGATAGGCAGGAATCACACTAGAGTGGTAGCTGAAAGCTTACATGTTGATCCACGAGCATCCGACAGAAAGCTTACTTGGATTGTGCTGAACTTTTAAAGCCTCCATTCCTCCTGCCCCCAGTGACACTCCTCTACCACAAGGCTATACCTCCTAATCCTTCCCACACAGTTCTACAACTGGGGACTAAAAAGTCAAATATAAGAGCCTATGGGGCCATTCTTATTCAGACCACCACATTTATCGATTGTTTCCCTCTTACATCTTTTTGAAAGTCCTTCAGTCTTAGATGATACAAAGATATTTATTTATATTTGCTTCTAGAAATTGTGAGGTTTTGATAAATCTATGATTGGTATTGTAGCACTACATGGGGGTGGAGAATCATTTCATTCTTCCATGATTCCACATGAATAACACTATCTGATCCTTCATGTGAAAATCTCATTTGCTAACTCAGCTTGGTGTCATCTCTGTCCTATTATAAGGTTCCATGTGGGCGTGGCTCTCTAGTCTCTTTCACTAGCCTACCTTTTACCACTGATAACACAGTTTGTTGCTTACAGTGTCTTTTTTGATAGTCTGATCATGCCATCTACTTGTTTTTATTTAAAAGTATATTGGCAATGTGGCCCTCTTATTTCATATTCTGTATACTGCTTATCCATACCACCAAAAAAAAAAAAAAAACCAAAAGATTGGGATTGCAAATTTTACTGTAAGATCATCAAATATATAGATTAACTTGGGAAGATTTTTTTTTTTTTGCCCTTATTTATGAATGCCACTGAGGCACAGAAAGGTTCTTGTCTGTGGCTAAAGAATCTAGCTTATGGGATCACAACCCAGCAACATTTGCTGAGATTTGTTTCCTGACTCTATGTGCATTTGATCCTTACAGGTGGTCAACGTGAACTTGAAAAGATATCTGCCATGTCATGTACTTTTCCATGTAGTTAACAAGGTGGAGGACATCAGGGGTTCAGTTCCTTTTTGTTCATAGTAATGTTGTTATGTTCTTAAACCATCAGTATTTGGAGAAACATACTAATATCACTTTTGGAATTCCCTTTTTTAATCTTATTTATGTATTTTAAAACAATGTTTTTAGGTACTTTAAGGCTTGGGATTATACAACCATCTCTTATGAAAATGCTAGGATTCCATCGGTGAATCTTGCCCCTTACAACCATTTTCTATTGACACTAAAATAACTACATACTTTCGTTGATATTTAATTACATATTTTAAAAATGTATTTACTTTTAACTTTTCAGTTTCTATTTATTTCGGTTATGTCTGTGGCAAACATGAAGTTGGAAACCACCACCTCCCCTTCCAAGTACAAAAACATTTATGTATTAGCATTGAGCTTTAATTGGAAATAACTTTTCATTTGTAGATTTCCACCTATTAAAGCACCTGGCTCATCTTTGCCCTCTGGCTTGTTAAATGTAGTTGCCCATGTATTCAAGTTATTTAACTTGAGTTTTGTATCTTCTGGGTACCCCTGCCCAATTACATGTAATTCCCTTTGCTATTTTCAAACTTATGTAAGTCTCCAATATTCATTTATCTATATATTATTTTACATCCCAGTTACAGTTCCCCCTCCCTTCTCTCCTCCCACAACCCCCACCCCTTGCAGTCAATTCCTCCTCTATTTCTGTTTAGAGAGGGGCAGGCCTCCCATGGGTATCAACAAAACATAGCATATCGAGTTGTAGTACGACTAAGCAACTCTTCTTGTATTTAGGCTGGGCAAGGTATTCCAGTATGAGGAATATATTCCCAAATTTGTATTTTCTTTATTGCTTCTATTTCCATTTTCAGGTCTTGAACAGTTCTATTTGTTTCCATCAACTGTTTGCCCCCCCCCAACTTGGTTTTCCTGACATTCTTTAATAGATTATTGATTTCCTCCAATTTTTTTGCCTGTCTTTTCCTCCGTTTCTTTAAAGACCTCTATCATCTTCCTAAAGTTATTTTAAGGTCATTTTCCTGTGCTTCAGCTGCACTGGAATGTTCAGGTTTTGCTGTGGTAAGATAGCTGGATTTTGGTGGTACCATTGCCCTTTCTGTTATTATGTTCTTACACTTGAGTTTAGTCGTGTGGATTTGGGGTCCTGTGTTCGTCTTTGTTGGATGGGTGTTTTGTTTCTTGATTTCTATTTCTTCTCTGGTCTTCTGGCCTAAGTGGCCAAGGATTCTAGTGACTGGTGAGTCTTCAGGTCCTGTAGGATGTCTCTGCTGGAGTTTTGGGGGCCTTGTGTCCCTTGATCTGGTCTAGCATCCAGGAAAACTGAAGTCTTCTTGGGTCTCTAGATCCAGCCTGGCCTCCGGTAGTGCTACTAGTGCCGTTCTCCTGACTGACATGGACTCTGCATGGGCCTGTGGCATCTGTTCTTCCAACTGGTGTGGAATGTTTCTCGGCTTATGGAGGCGGCTGGAGTTCTGGGGGAAGAGCCGCTTGTCTACTGGTGAGGCAGTTGTAGATGGTGTGGTCTGCACCTCAGTGACAAAAATCCACTGGGGTTGCTGGTGGAGACCCAACAGCAGAAGGGCCAAGGACAAGCTGGGATGGAGTTTGCCTGAGGAAAGGGTCACAGGGGACAGAATCCAGAGAGGGGTACAGTTCCACTGGCAAGCAGGTCACTCGCCCATTCTGAATTTTGTGTCCTAGGTCTCAGTCTCCAATATTTTTATGTTAATAAACATGAATTAACAGCTGGACTCAGATTAGATGATTCCAATTTTGTTTGCAACATCCAGAGCGTTGTTATCAGGAGCCAGATGGATATCCCCTTCTCTGCATCAGGTTTGATCAATGTCACAGCCTTTCCTATCTGATGAATGCTGACTTGACATTCACAATGAACACAAGTGAGTAATCTTCTGTCTTCTTCCTGGCTGGCTCAGCAGTTGGGGCAACTTGATGCTGGTACAGTGGGCAATCCCATTTCTCCTGGAGGTTCTGTTGTGAGGGTATTTAGACTTCCTCTGCAGCCACGGGGTCCTGGGCTTTGACTGAAGGTGGTGAGTGAAGATCTGCTTCTTTGTGTGGTAGACACCTTCCAGCACACCTGTGCTTTGGCCACAACTTAGGAAGGAACTTCCTTCACTCTGGGCACTATTTTGGCAAAAATCCTGTTACAATCCACCATGTGGGTGCTGGGACTCAAGACTGAGTCATATGCAAGGGCAGCCAGTGCTCTTTGACTGTTAAGCCATCTCTCAAGCCCCTGTGTCTCTGATTCCTTAATGATTATGCTAGAATGTTTGCCATTCTGTATGAACTTGTTATGAAATTAATCAGTGATGTTTCCCCCATCTACATATTAAAAGCACTTTTGAACATAAACATAATTATCTCTCCCTCCTTAATTTCTATTACTCGTGGAATTTTAGTTCTGTCTTGACTTTATCACTTTTGCAGTTTGTTTAATGTGGTCCAAGTTGGATAGACCCTATGCTTAGACCTTTTGTTCATAGTTCCTTATTACATCTCAGGCTTTCTTACTTCCTGAAACAGTTGCTTCAGATTCATTTAGTGACTATCTGTTGATAAGAAACTCTCCATTTGGTTTCTCTGAAAGTTATTTTGATTCAACTTTTTATATTCAGATACATTTAGAATATTGTGTTGTCATATAACTTTGTCATTGTTTTTTTATGCTATCATGTCAGCTATCAATCATTTGTAATGTGTTTCCTTCTGTATGATTTTTAAATGATTTTTAAAACATCTTTGGCTTTGATACCAGTGTTTTAACTCTGTGAGTGATTTGTTGATCTGATCTATTGTAATTTATGCTGTTTGGAATTAATTCAACTTCCTAATCGGAGGATCATTGTCTTGCCATTTCTGGAAAGTCCTATACTTTCATCCTGATTGTTCTCTGTCTCTGACCCTGTCTCTCTCTGTGTGTGTCTCTGTCTCTCTCTCTCTCTCTCTGTCTCTCTCTGTGTCTCTCTCTGTCCTGGTCTCTCTCTCTCTCTCTCTCTCTCTCTCTCTCTCTTTCTGTCTCCCTCCGTCTTCCCTCTGTCCAGGTTCTCACAATGTATGCCAGCCTACCCTTGAACTCATACAGATCCCACTGTCTCTGCCTCTAAGTGTGGGATTAAAGGTGTGCAACACAATCCACAATGCCCACCTTTTAAAAAAAACATTTATTTACTAATTCATTTTAAGTGCATGAGCATTTTACCTGCACATATGTGTACTGTGTATGTGCCTGGTGCACTAAAGTCAGAAAAGGGTGTCAGATCCCTAGAACTGGAGTTATAGCCAGCTGTGAGCTGCCTTGTATGTTCTGGGTACTGGACCCAGGTCCTATGTAAGAACAGAAAGTGATGGGTTTCTTTGTGTAGCTTTGGAGCCTATCCTGGCACTCGCTCTGGAGACCAAGCTGGCCTCGAACTCACAGGGATCTGCCTGCCTCTGCCTCCCGAGTGCTGGGATTAAAGGCGTGCGCCACCAACACCCGGCTCAGAATGTGATTTCAAGCAATAAGCCATGTCTCCAACCCCAGTGCTGTTTCCCTTTGATGCTAGTAATCTCTGTGCAATTCAAGAGACTCGCTTGTGTTCTCTTACCTCTTCTTCATTTGTAGTTCAAATTTTACCTTTTATTCAGTCCTCAGAAATTTTACTAGTTCTGTTTTCTAATTTCTCCATTGTCTTTTTAGGTGTATGGAATTGGGCATATTTGTTGTGTTCTAATTTAATGACTATATTCTTAAAATTATTTATGTCATTGGATCTATTTTTTATATCCTTGTCCTCTTATATTTTCTTTTTCTTTATTTTGTTTTTTGTTTATTTGTTTGTTTATTTATTCAGTTTTTCAAGACAGGTTTCTCTGTGTGGCCCTGGCTGTCCTGGAACTCACTCTGTAGACCAGACTGGCCTTGAACTCAAAGATCTGTCTCCTTTGTCTCCTGAGTGCTGGAGTTAAAGGCTTGAGCTGCCACCTGGCCTATTATATTTTCAATTCTCTGTTTTAAACATACTAAATACAATTATGCTTATGTACCTAATTAATATAGACTCTTTTAGATCTGATGATTATCTAATTGCCAATTCATAAAAGATATTTCTTCATTTTTTAGTTATTTTTTATGGTAAGTTCATGTTCTTTTGACACACAATTATGGAAATTCTATGAAATTTACAAAATAGCTTCCAGAGAATTTTTATTTTTGCTCCTCTTAACCTAGGACCAATTTAAGTAAGAATTTCAGGTTATGGGTTTTCATGTCATCTAAGTAATATAAACTCAGTCCCCAAATCTCCTCTGTTTTTCTAGCAGTTGTTGTTTGAGCATTACTGGGTAGGGACTTACACAGAACAGACTCTTTACTGACCAGAGTATGAGTTCTATGAAAACCGTATCACTCATTTAGCATGTCATGTGTGTCTGATGAAACCCACAGTGTGGACCTCCAGGATCAGGATGTGCCTCAGAGCAAATGATGCTTCAGCATCCCCTACCACTGTGGTTCACTGGGCACTACTGCTGTTCTTCTTAGAATGCTTTTACTCCTCTGTTGTGAATAGTCAATAGTGTGTATGTGTATGCGTGCATATGTGTGTATACACTCAGCACTTTGGGCTATGCTATCCATGAAGGACTTTCTGTTAACCCCGTGTTAAAACAAGTTCTTTTTTAAAATGTTAGCTGAATGTAAGTCATGTAAAAATCAATAAAAGTCATGTTGTAAAATATGTCATAGAACTTAAAGTATATGTGTGGAAATTAACTTTTAAACACTTCATCAGTTATATTCTACCTGTCCTCAAAATCAGAACCTATTTGTAAAAAAGAGAGACAATACATGAAATGGTAGTATCAGATAGCAGTTTATGAAAGTTAAAAATAGGAAGAAGTTATTGAAAGTTGAAGAAATGTGGACAGTGTTGTTTTTGCCATCTTTGTCTAGGAAAGTATCCAGGACTTGAGAAAGAGAGTCACAGTTCTTGACTGCCAATTGCGAAAATCAGAAGTGGCTCGGAAAACTTTCAAGGCATCTACTGAAAGCCTCCTTCATTTTGTTGAGGTAAGTTTTCTCAGAAGTTGACCCTCTGTCTCCTTGAATTCCACAGCAGTGAGTTCAGCCAACCATGGGATGAAAAGATCCAGGAACAAAAACTCCAGGAATTTCCACAAACCAGGAACAAAAACTCCAGGGATTCCCACAAACCACGCCAAGCTCTGTGTTGAATCTCTGCAAATGAAGTGATATGTAGTCATACCCCACTAGAGTCACCATTGCCTTTCTCCAGTGCTCTCTAGAGTGCCATTTATCTCATTTCTCATTTGTATACCTTGTGCTCAGGCCTAAGGTGATTGCTTCAGTAGGAAGCAAGTATAGAAAAAGTCCTGTCCTTATTTTGAATACTAGAGACTATAAAACTATTTGCATAGAAGCTATATTGTATTATTTACAAGTCATCTAGAGACAATGTGAAGAAACCATAGGCAATGTAGATCACATACATACATAGTAAACCACTTGAGCATCTGTGGATTTTGATAGAACCGGGGACCCTGAAACCAATCCTCTGTACATACTGAGGGATAACTATATTACATTGTTTTTCAAAAAATCTTGCCAGGCCTGAAGGCACAAGGTTGTAATCCTAGCTTCTTAGGATCTCGATGCTGAAAAATAGCAAATCCAAGGCTATAATGAGACCTTGTCTCAAAATAACAAGTGAAAAGGAAGGTTGGATATATACTTCTGTGGTAGAATGCTGGCCTAGCATTTGAGATCCTAAATTCTATCCTCAGTACTGAGAGAGGAAAAGAGGGAAGAGAGGAGGAAAGGAGGGAGGGAGAGGGAATAAGTACTGTCACAGAAAAATGTCACGGTTTGGAGACTACAGAAACATCTCTGTTTCAATACAGCAATTCTAACTTACAGTCAGATTCAGATTTGCCTCAGTATATAAGAAGAATAGCTAACATTATATAGATGGTTAGTAATAAGTATACATATAATAAAGTGTACTTCGCTTTAATGAATACACTCCTAAAAATCCTCATACTGTGTAAACATAATTTGGTAACTATTCACGCTATCATGAAGTACTAGCTAGATGACTTACCTTACCAGTTAGCAGTGCTTCCTGCACTTGTGAATTCAGTTCTCAGCACCCATGTCAGGTGACTCACAATCACCTAAACTCCAGTTCCAAGGAGCCCAACACCCTCTTCTATCCTCGAAAGGTATCTGCACACACACACACACACACACACACACACACACACACACACAAATTTAAGTATTTTAAATAAATACCTTATAATTATCTCCAAGCAGAATTTCATGTTAACATAACTGACTGGCCCACTATAATAGGAACATCTGCATACTCAATGAAGGAGGACATTATAAATTAATTAATCAAGCGAAGATTTTAGTTTGTTTTCAAGCTATCAAGCTTACGAATCTCCTTTACCATCTTATTTGTCACTAGGCTGCTCAGGAAGTACTTTTGGATAGTTCTGCTCCTTTCTCAAATTTAAGGTAAGAATGTGTTGCTTTCGGCAGCGTATGAACACTAATTTCTTTGTGTATATTGTGGCTAAGATACTCTAGGTCAGCTTTAGGGTGCTGCGTGATTCCCACTGAATGCTCGTTTTTTAACTTTTTGGAAGGAAATGCAAGCACATACTGTTTAGGTTCCATCTCTCTAAAAGAAACTGCTGGAAGCATTTAGACAGCCATTGTCACTTTGTACTCTAAGGTTTCGGATTCACACATCCTGTCTGTGTGTGGGGAAGCTGCTGGTGGCAGATGCACGGCTGAAGACGGCTCAGCCTGGCAGATGCGTTCTGTCAAATACAATTTTGCAAAGCATATTCACACAATCAGTTTCTTTCATTTGCATCATTCGGCGATATAAATAAAAGAAGGATGTTTGTAGACTGCACCTTGATTTGTTATTATTCGTAGCATGCTGCTGTCTTCAGGATTCCCCCTCAGAGCTACAAACATCCAAGTAAGGATTGTTTGTCTCAAGCCCCAGCTCTTCACTGACTTTGATACAGGATGAAGGGCGGGCATACACTGAAGAAACTGTCCTGCTGGTCTACATTGAAAGTACTTGTTTCCTATGACTGCCATAGTTCATACGCGTGCATCTCCACCAGCAGCTCTTGCAGAAACCACTATTACTGACAAAACAGTAGTACAGAAGAGAGAACAAGAGCCACACACAGTGGCTTCTGCCTGTAATACCAGCACTTGGGAGACTGAGACAGGAGAATCTCTATTGAATTCAAGACTAACCAGTGTGGCTACACTGAGACCATCTCTTAAAAAAAAAAAAAAAAAAAAAAAAAAAAAAAAAAAACAATAAAAAAAAAAAAAAAAAAAAAAAAAAAGAAGTAATGTCTACAGTTGCTGAGTTTTGTGTTCATTTTAATGTTTCATTTCTTATTATGAAAGAGACATATTTGTTGTTAACTCTGCTGCTTACAATGTAATCCTGTGAATTCTATGAATGTTGTTTTAGTAAGGATTTTAAACCACTCGGTAGCCATATTCCTGTTTTACATATTAAGTGTGCCCCACCCCTTCAATCTCATTTTGACCTTTACTAATTCAAATTTTTGGTATTAAATACCAGGTTTAAAAGTAAGTAGATAAAAGCCAAAAGCCAAACCTTACCCTAAAGCACTTCTTAGAAGGAGGAAAAAGAAAAAGGCCACTTTAAAAGCTACAGTAAGCAATTTTTGCTGTGTCTTGTAGGCTAAACACTGTTAAGATCTTGGCCATTCTTAATATACCACATCTCCTGTATGGGTTGGCTTTGGTCATTTAACACAGAGTAAAGGCTATGTATTTGAATTGGAAATTTCTTAAGTTTATCCTTGTGAATTAATGTCATCATGTTTAAAAAGGTGGGCTGTAAATACCAATTTTTTTTCAATACAAAGTCATTTGTCTCCTTCAAGTAAAAGCATTACTGTAATTTTTTGAGGAAAATGTTTCATTTTAAATTGTGTCATAATGCATTTATTTCAGATGACGCCTTAGTTAAACTCTGGAACACAAAGCAAAAAGTAATGAATATGGGAAGGACATTTACAAGGGAGAAGGGGGGCTGGCGGGGTGGGAGGGAAATAAGGATAAGGAGCATAACGAGAATGTACTATATACAGGTATGAAATTATCAAGGAACAAAATGTATTAATAAAAAGTAAATTCAAATGTCATAATATATATATGTATATAATATATATATGAATATATATATTATATATATATAAAGGATATATATATTCTTTAGGCTGTTCTGTAATTAGGAAAAACAAATGGGAGAATTTAAAAGATAATTTCTTAAGTAAATATATATATTGAATTTATATTCAATATTACTATAAAAAATAGAAAACATCTGTTTAATAAACTAAGGTTTATATGTTTAGTTTGAAATTTTACAAAATGAAAAAAAAAGACCCAGCAAATTATTTAAGATGTAAGCTATCCTTCCTTTACTTCCTCCTTACATATAAAGTAAAAGTACTTCTTAAAATATGCCTATTTATTGCTGGGCGTTGGTGGCACACGCCTTTAATCCCAGCACTTGGGAGGCAGAGGCAGGGGAATCTCTGTGAGTTCAAGGCCAACCTGCTCTACAGAGCAAGTTCCAGGACAGCCTCCAAAACAATATAGAGAAACCCTGTCAGGGGGTGGGATGGGGGAATATGCCTATTTACTATAGAATAAACTAGTCAAAGCAGAAATCCTATTCTATGTTCTTGTATGGCTCTATGAATATAATGTTCCTAGAATCAGAAACATTTTTGCACAAACATAATGGACACCAATTCAGGTTTAGCAAAGATGCACTGGTGTTGCTTTCTGTGCAGTACACTCAAAGCCTTTTCATTGCCCATGCAGCGAAAGGAGAGCTGTGTTTGCATCGCAGACTTCACTCCCACTGCTGGGAAAGAATGGGCGCAGCTTCCCAGCAAACCTGCTTCTGGAATCCAAGGAGCTCGTTAGATCCGTTCGTGCCATACTTGATATGGACTGTAAGTTATCTTCATATTTTTTTGCACTCTTTTGATAATTTATTAAACAAAGCAGAAGAAAAAACTGAGTTCTGATAGTTTAATTGCGTGGAATACATTTGTCTACAGTAAAATTGATAGCTACTCATTAAAAAACGCTGACATGCCAATTGTGGGAGAGTATTGGCTTCATTTAAAATGCCCAAGATGATGTCTAACTCAAGAGAGCTAATTAATATGTGTCTTCTATTTTCTTCCTAAGTATCTTTGACATTAGAAAATAATACCAAATAAAATGCACTAGAACCCTGAAGGGCAAACCAATGCCCTTCAAGTTTTAAAAAGGTGCAAGAGGTATAGTAACATTGCATGAAGTTGAATGAGGCCTGATGGTACAAGCACTTGAAATACGGAGGCAGACCAACTTCAACAGAAGACACCCAAACAACAATGAAATAGAAAGGACTGATGAGACATAGCCAGCCATGGTAGCTTCTAACTAAAATCTCAGCCCTTGGGAGCCTGAGGCAGGAGGCTTTCTGTGATTTTGAGCTAGTCTGGGCTACGTAATGATTGCTCACACAGCCTAGACTAAGCATTGAAGACCTTTCTCCCAAGATCAAACTAAAGAAAAGCAACACACACACACACACACACACACACACACACACACACACACACACACACACAGAGAGAGAGAGTAACGACTGAAAACAGACTGTGGCAGTGAGCAGGTAATCAATGAAATGTCTGTTATTAATGAAGCAGTCCCCAGCCCTTCAGCGCTGCTGGATCAAGCATTTCCTCAGAAGTGGGGGCCGAGAGAATCCGCTGTGTGGGAACTGTGGCATCAGTACTAGTATGGGGCCGTGCAATCAGTTCTAAGGATCTCTCAAGTCAACACTATGGTTTCAAGAGAAGCAGACCAGTTTCTAAGCAGCTCCCCACACCCATCACAGAGTCTTGGGGGAATACCCAAGTGATTGGACGTTTCTGCCTTTCCCTCATCATCTCCCCATCTGCTTCTTCATGAGAATCTCAACTTTTAATAACTATTTTCAACATACCATCTATTTTCCTATGATGAAGATTATAGGTGATTCTTCTAACATTTATAAAAATCAATAATAACATGTCCAACCTGAAAAACAAAGGAAAAAATGAGAGGAATGTGATTCATGACAGACTGATCTCAACAGCTGAAGTCTTGCCCAACAGCACTAGGTGATGTGACAATATAATGCTGTGACCTACACAGAGTCCCTACAAAAGTGAGAGCCATGAGGGTAAATTAACACAGCCACCTGAGGGTCTCCGCTTAAGTACCACAAGTTCACTGGCATCTGTGCCATGATTGTCTAAAATGGTGAGCAACTCCCAGTGAAGTTCTGAACAAAGGAAAATGCGGTGTTTTATTAATTTACTCAGTGGTACCAAGCCTGTACAAGGAGATATTTAAATTATGCAAATGTATTGTGTTCATCTAAAAACAAAATCACATTCCAGGATCATGCAGCTTAAAATTTTTTAGCAGCCTGAATTTCTTACCGGACATTTGAACGTCATATGAGGCAGCATAATTCTTTGATGTTCAAGACAGGCAGATACATTTTATATGTTAGACTAGGATGGGATCCGACAGCCTTTCTTCAAATGCCAGTGTGCACCCCAACAGTGTGCTGATAAATAATGCCTCATGCATTCCTCTAGATGCTCTTGTGTGGTACCATGCTTCAGCTGAAACCCAGATATCCATCATCCCAGAGTCACCTAACCACCTATTAACAGTCCATTGTTCTTTTTTACAATTTGAAGAAACAGGTTAACGAGTCCGCCTATGGTCACACCATCAATTAGTAGAAAAGCAAGGATTTATTAACAGCTAAGACTCATTTCAGAGGTTCTATTACCCTTATCCTTCAAGCTGGAGGGTCTGGTTGTTGAGGGTTCCAGATAGCTGTTTTTGTGCATGTGTTTTTGTTTGTTTGTTTGTTGTTTGTTTGTTTGTTTTTTTGGTTTTTCAAGACAGGGTTTCCTCTGTGGCTTTTGGAGACTGTCCTGGAACTAGCTCTTATAGATCAGGCTGGTCTCGAACTAACAGAGATCCACCTGCCTCAGCTTCCCAAGTGCTGGGATTAAACGCATGCACCACCAACGCCCACCTCAGATAGCTGATTTTTGCAGTGGTCCTCAACCTCCCTAATGCTGGGACCCTTTAACACAGTTCCTCATGTTGTGGTGAACCCCCAACCATAAAATTCTTTCATTGCTATTCCTAACTGTCATTTTGTTATGGTTATGAATTGTAATGTAAATATCTGACATGCAGAATATTTGATATGTGACTCCCAAAGGGGTTGAGAACCACTGCTGTAGAGGAACTTACTTCTCTAACATAATATTGGCAAGCAACATGATTGGATTGTAAATTGCACTCTCTTCACAACTCTAAATATATAGACATAAAAGGTACAATGAAGAAAGAACAATGAAATGGAACTTTATACTTAGTGCTAATGTTTTTATTAACTATCCTATTAATCATTACTCTATAACAAATCACCCCAAAACTTGATGACTATAGCATTTTAGTATTCATGATCCTGTGGAGTAGCTAGGTTTGGCTGGACAGTTCTTAGTAGGGAACTCTGATATGATCAAAGTTAGCTAACATCTGAAATTACAGTCTTCTGATAATTCTACCAGGCTGGACATCTAGGTGGCAACTCAACTTGGGATGTCAACTCCAATACCTTTTTCTTATACCCTCTCCAGCAAGCGGGCCTTAGGTAGTTAAACACACATGATGGCACAAAGCTCCCACCCGGATGGTTAAATGAGCAAGCAGGACACTGCATCTCCTTGTGACTGAGCCTCAGAAGCAACATGGCATTCTGTACACCCACTACATTCTGTACATCCGCACAGATGATTCCAGGGCGGGGCTAGGGCTCCACCCTGGATGAAAAGGTACCACGATTACATTTTAAAGGAGTGTGTAGACAGATGTTAGTTTTGTGGTCACCTTTGAAGAATATAATTTTCAACATTAGAATATATGGGATATAATTTAGTCATGATGACTACATAACATCATCTTGGTGTCTGTTAATATGTGGCATTTAGCAGAACAGCCTGTGGTCTTTGCTTCTGTCCCTTCCCTTAATACACTACCTGCTGTTTGTTTTGTTCCAACATTCCACTGTCCATCCTATTCCCTTCTCCTGACCTTCTCTAAGCTACAAACCAAATGTATAAAGGTAGCTGGATGAATGACTGAATGGATGGGTAGATGATCAATGGTAGGAAGGACTGACAGATAAATAGGTAGATGGGAATGCAAATAAGTAGCTAGGAAAAGAGAAGAAGAGAGAGATAATGTCCTCCTAATTGTCAGAACATTAACTTGTGGGTGCAGTTTTGCCTAGTAAGTAGCATTGCTTGTCTTGATGAACTAACATTCACACACACTTTGGTAACATTTGACTTAACAGATACAGTGTTGAAAATTGGAAACCATGCCTCTAAAGTGCCTGCTCACTTTATATGATGAGTGTGTTTAAATTTTTTGTAACCTAATACATTTTAAAAATAAAGCTGTATGTCAAGAAAATATAATAATTCATTATATAGAGGATATCTCTATGTGTTTTAGGAAGGGCTGAACCCAATCGCTTCTAATAAATATGTGTAGACTCGAAATTCTATGTATTAGACATTTTTATGTTTAGGTGGGAGCAGGAGAGGGAAACACCTGCATAGACATAGCCCAGTGGACATCGCTGCCATTAATTTTAATTACCTCCCTAACATTAACCATTATCGCTGTCAAACATGATTATTCAAAGAAAATATTTGAAATTCAGCAGAACTTCTTTGTAAGAGAACAGAAAACTGACGTGTGCACTTTTTATCCTTTGTAAGATTATATGTGCTTTGATGTTTAAAACCAGAGAAACAGTTTCTACACTGACTGCTTATGTAAAGTATAGCTGCTAATGTTGGCATGTTTTGTCAGTGTTTTTCAACTTTATAAGCATAACTCTTTAGGTTTAATGAGTCTTACTTTTTCTGTAAGCACTGATTTTTTTCATGTATATAATAGGAAACAGAAAACTACTAGAGTGAGGTAGCTCAGTCAGCCAAAACCCCAAACCTCATTTCTTTTGCCTTAGTTATCTGCATATGTCAAGCTATAATTTGAAATATTCACTTGGGCAATTGACTCCACTTTCTTTTAATATACACTAAAGTTTTTTTCTTGAAAAATGTGTAGAATATATTCTCTTGGACCTTATAGCTTGAAGACAAGCTCAGAAGATTGTGTAGAAGACTGTAACCCACCAACCGGAACCAAATAATGACAAGGAGACTTCTTATTAATTATGAAAGTTCGGCCTATAGCTTAGACTTGTTCCTAACTACATCTTATCACTTAAATTAATCCATTTATATCAATCTACACTCTATCACATGATATTACTTCTCTTCCATAATGCACCTCCTGTTTCCTCTCCGGATCTCCTGGCATCTCTCTTGTGCCAAACTTTCTCCTTCTCTTCCTTTCTCTCCCCAGAAATCCTGCCTGTACCTCCAGCCTAACTATCGGTTGTTCAGCTCTTTATTACACCGATCACAGCAATTTATTTTCTCACCGTTCGCAAATATCCCACAACAGAAGACAACCCTGAACTTGTTCTAGGTTCTCAATTCCTCTGAACTCTGATGAATCCCACTTCCAGAAATGAAGAATAATTGTATTTTGCATCCATTTTTAGAACATTCCTGAAACCTAGGCTAGGATCCCCGGATGTAGAATCCCAGGGAGCACAGAATGCTTTCTACAGCACTGTAAGCATGGCCATCCGATCCTTGTCAGAGTGCCTGTGAAGGCATATGTCAAGATAAATGTGATTCCACGTAGAGTAGACTGGAGCTCTGCAGTCTCTGAGCTTCCTTAGAAGTGCTCGAGGGAGCATTGTAGCTGTTCATCCACTCTGTGGGATGACTTAACCCTCAGC